TTTGAATTTACAAGGTTATTCAGATTCAAAGACGTGTTTCTATATTTCATGTTTCATCTATGTATATTACGTACTAATTTTCATTCCTTACATACTCAGTACATTTTTCGTACTGGCGCCCTATTTCACGAGGCCTGCATTTCATGCCCGCAGGTGCTGGTAGGCAAGATGACGGTCCCCCTCCTTAGGATCCCTGATCAGCGAGAGTTGGCGTGCTCCATTTGATTCNGGCCTTGTCGGCTTTTAGTTTTGGATGTATAGTTGTCTATAGCAGCCTTGCCGGCTCGCCCACTTTATTCTGCATGTATACTTACATATGCTTTGATGACAGGTTTCCTTCATGTATGTTATTTTCGTAATGCAACAGATGTTATTCAGGTTCACATCTTAGACGCATGCTTAGGGGTGTTTGACAGGTAGGACTCAGGTACCCGTCGCGGCCCATCGGTTTGGGTCGTGACACACAGGGACTTGCTTTAACTATCAACTAAATTAAACCAAATAATTAATCTATTCAAGTGAATACTAACGTATGAATATTTAACTAAATTTAATCTAGAGTAGCAAATAAGGAGATTAAAGAAAGTAACGACAAGCTTAACAACGAATTCAATGTGAGTGAATATTCTAGAGCTATGGGTTAGCTAACAATCCCGTAGATTTTTTCACTTAAATCATCTAATTAATTTATTTGGTTTATTTGTTGATAAGGTTAATATTGCTCATAGCCTTCTCCCGAAGTACAACTCACCTATTCAAGCTAACCTAATGCCTATATTCCTATGGAATTAGAATTAACAAGAACGTATTAATAATTCATGTATAGTAACCAAGCAGGGCAATTAGGTATATTCCGATCCTAACCGCAAATCCGTCCCCCCCTCCCCGAGTTAAGATCTTAGATCTTGCTCTACTCAATCTTATATGCAATCTAGAATTCCCTCTCCCGAGTTCAATCCTAGATTCGTAGATAGTATTCAATTCGTGATCACGCAACCAAATAATTAAGCGCAAGATTAAATAAATAAACCAATATGATAAATTAATAAGAACAGTTCAAGCTTCAAACTACAACGTTCATGTAGCACCCAAAACTCTAGAACAAATAAACAATGAAATTAAAGGAAGAGAAGAGAATAAAAACTAGCTTAGAAGCCTCCTCCAAGTGTGGTGTGTGTTCCCTCACGTGAATTCTCCTTCAATATATGTTAGATCCCCTTCAAAATATGTTAGATATCTCCCAAAATAGGTTTAGAACTCCTTTTATACGAGTTAGAGGGTCTTGGGCCGAAATAACTTTATTCCGGGCAAATTTGGACAAGTTTCATGCCACCGGTGCCCTTCCTAGTGCCAGGTGCCCTCCACGGCGCTGCCAATTTGGAGTTTCTATTTCTAGCGCCACAGCTAGGGCTAGGCGCTGCAACTTTCAATTTTCTTGTTTTCGTCCGTTTCTGCTCTAATTTTGCACATTTCACTCCCAATTGCTCCCGGATTATTCCTACACATAAAAACACCTCAAATTAATATAAATCAACACATTTTACATCCTAAATCCACGAAACAAAATTTACATATATGAGGTGTTTATGTAAACACCTCAAAACTTACATCTTAAATCCACATTATACTTTAAGCTAACATCAGTATACTATACAAGAAATAATTCATGCATAAATTAATTGTTGCATAAACTAATCCCAAAAATAGCTTAGTCTCCTAACCAAACGACCCCTTAGCGGCTAGCGCTCTTAGGCCATCTCCAAGGCTGCACCAAATTTTGCACAAAATCCAAATTTGGTGTAAAATTTGGTGTTTTTTTGCTCCAATGGAACACCAAATCTTGCACCATTATAGTGCATGAATAGTGTTGCACCAAATTTGGTACAACACTATTCATCACACCAAATTTGATTTATTATTATTTTATTCATTTGTTTTTATTTTTTGAACTTTTAATTTATCATATATTGTGTATATAATTAATTTTTATATTAAGATCTTTATAATTTTAATTTTATATCCTATTTTTTTGATATATTAATTTTTGTATATATTATATTTATATAAAATTATAAGTTAATTTTATTATCTAATGTTGCTAAAATTAAAAGTGAAAACTAAAATTTAAAAAAGAAAATTAACAATACATAAAATAAAAATAAGTGATTATATATTTGTTTGAAGGAAATAAAAAATGAAATTTAAATAGAAGATAATAATATAATATAGAAGAGAGAGAAGAAATATTATTTTTTGGTGTAAAATATAGTGTAATGGTTGGAGTAAATTTGGTATTACGCTATTTTGGTGTGAAATTTGGTGTTAGGATTGGAGATGGTGTTAGTATCACTAAAATGATATCTAAAAACCACTAGTTGTACGCACGCTGATTCTTAACAAACTTTTATATATATTTTGCACCCTCTAACTGCTACGCGAAAGCTGAAAGACCAGAACCAGCTGCTGACGCTGATGGAGTAAAAATAATGGAGGTTAAATGGAAGTCTCTTCTGGACAGAGACAGAGCTAGGCGGGCGGGAGGGAGAGAGTTCAGCTCTTTCTCCGTGTAATCATGTAAATATATTAAATATTGCATCCCATTCATTTCTTCGCATGTCTACTTTTGTATTTTTGAATCTCTTGGGTGAAAATTCTATTTCCCCTATACCTTCGGGATCTATACAATGTGTAACGAACAAGGGCGAAAGTAAGCAATTTGATGAATGTGCCTGTCTTCTTCGCATTGAAGATTACTTTTTGATAAGAAGAGTTGACGACAAGTGTCATTAGAGTTTACATTGGTCGGATTAGTTTGAGTTTTTTAATTACCAAATCAAATTAGTTGTGTCAGGTTACTAAATTAAAAGACCAAACCAAATCAATACAAGTCAGGTTTTTTATCTCGGGTTTTCGGATTTTTTCGGTTTTTTTTCCATAAAGTCTTCATAGCACAAAACATAGAATTTGTGCACCAAATATTTCTTTAATCATAGTAAGACATAACTATGTAAGGTATTTTTCAAGAAAATAACATAAAATATGAGATGAGTCATGGCATTATATTAAAATATTCAACAATAACGATAATAAAATTGCATAAAATAAATATTATTAATAATTCATAATAAAAATAAACATAATCTAAAGTTACTAAGTTTCTAAAATAAGTACGATCGACTAATAAGTACTATTATTTACATAACTAAACACTAAAAAAATAAGTTATGCATTTTATCTAAACCACGAATAAACTAAAAAATATATATATCCAACACTTTTGTCATTCCTAGTACAATTGAATTGAATGTCTTTTGTTAGCATTAATATCGATTTGATTTTGATTTGAAATTTATTTGAGTTACTAACATTTATGGACTATAAAGTTTATTGGAGCATTCAAAAATTATAAGCTCAAGCTTGAAATAATACGTTAAAAGATAAAATTATGAAAACTTTTAGGATATCTTTGTAAACTATACTACAATAAATATTTTTATGTAGTAAATATATTTAAAACTTCTACACATGTAACATCGGATTGGTTTGATTTTGGATTGGTTTTTTTTAGTTAAAATCAAACCAAACCAATTATGGTCGAGTTTCTTTCCAACACCAAATCAAAGTATCAAACCATATTCGATTTTTTTTCCTCCATTTGATTCAGATTATCGATTTGATACTGTCATCCGGCTAATAATTGGACTCTTGTTTTTCTTTTCATTTTAGTCGGTCATTTTTACCCTTTCATACTTCTCTGTGGGAAAAAGATTTTGTGATAATTGTGTTTTCAGAAGCCTTTTGAAACGGAAAAACATTATGTGATGCAGTCAAAATTTCTATGCAACTTATTGGTTTGCTAAAAAGAACTGCAAGGCTACCTTTTTAATTCTAAATTCTAAAAAACAAAGTGATATTGAAAGCTATCTAGTACCTCTAGAAACCAGAGGGATATTAATAGTACTTATTATTTACTTGAAAGAGAAGAGAATTCGACTCATCCACAACTACGTTCCTTAAATTAACATAGTTTACAATGTTGTTAACAACCTAGTTTTGATCATTTCCTTTCTTATTAAAACAGGAAAAGGAGGATGATATATAACAAGAGTGAGCTGGGTATTAGTTCCAATATTTGTTGCATTGTAATGTGATAATAACTCATTTAATTATTGAAAGGGTTGACATTGAGTACAACAATGATTCACTACCGTAATATCTCTAATTTGGTCGACACGGCAATCTTTTGTTTTGGTAAGGAGTGGTTATCCCACCTAAAGCCTATTAAATTCATTTGTTCAGGACGATCATTGTTTTTTTTTAAAAAAAAAAAAATACAGAATATAGAATATTAGTTCTGGAAATGTGTAGAAAATCAAGTATTGGTGCGACCTTGCAATTTCGTAACGGCTAAAAGCGACATTTGCTTGTTCATAGGACATTGACAGGGCAGCTAAACAAGTTGTTGGCAAAGGCCTTTCTCTCTCCCTTTAGCTTAAGCTTTCCAAATATTTCAAATCGTGGATTTTCAAAAACAATTTAATAATAATAATAATAATTGTCCTCTCAAGCTAACAATTTTTACTGCCAGCGGCAAATATATGTGCTAAGATAACAACAATATTTATCTTGTATGCACCGACGACATAATTATTATATTTTAATTTTATAGCAAATAACTTGTCTTATTTTTTTAGGTTACTAATCTCATCTTTTATGAGCAGCTATCTATAGTTATTTTTTAGGTGATGTGATTAATGTGTATATAGAAATATTAAACTCAATGAATAAAGGAGGGTAATGCTTGCCCTTCCCTTAAAGAAAAACAAATTGACTATACGGTCATTATCACCTATGTATCTTGACGATTAAGGGATGGGTATTTGAGGAAATTATACGATAGCTTTTTTTTTTTTCCAAGACGAAGAATAAAAGGAACAACACTTAAAAACATATGGCAAACAATTAAAATTCCTTCATTTAGTCCGACCCTTATGGTGATCTCATCAAGGGGAAGGAAATCTAAAAAGACAAGGAAACAACACTTGGAGCTTTTCTAGTAGTTCTAATTACTTATCCCTTAATCTTTTCATAATTAGGCAACCTCTCTGTCTCTAACAACTGCTGCCAAATCTCTTTTAAATATATGTTAAATCACTCAAATTAACTTATACTAGTTTTTACTTGCTCACTGCAATTATTAGCTGGAGAGAAAGTGAGAGTGTACATTTTATATAGCATAGGAACTAGGACTCTGGTTTCTACACTCGAGTTTCTCTTGAAATGATGATTATGAAAACACTTCCTTCTAAAGCATTGATCATCAAAATCAACTTAGTTTTCTTGGCTTGCTTCTTAGTTGCTTATGGTGCTCTTCTTCTCCGGCCATCAACTTCTGTTTATCATGAATATGCAGCATCCCTTGTATGCTCATTGCGCGAATGCCATCATAAGGTAAGGTGAGCTTTTTTTTTACCTGTTTATTTTCTTTTTTCAGTTCAAGAAAGGTGAGCATCAGTGGAAGCAGCCACTAATGATTGTATTAGGTTAGGCGTCTACGTCAAACTCCTTGGGTGCAGCCTTTCTCGTACGTTGCGTGAATGTCGGAATGCCTTTGTGTACCGGGTTGCCCAATGAAGCATTTAGGTTTTGTTATATATACATGGAGTAACATAGTCAATGAGGATTCATATAGTCAACCCAACTTGTTTGGGATTGAGGGGCCGTTATTGTTGTTATAAGTTATAGCGTAAAGATTTTTTTGTACGATATAAGTTTGATTTAACATGTAATAGCATGTTACAGGTCAGTAATTAATGCTTATCGTAGAAATTTCCTGTAATTACCTTATAAGTTACTTGATTCTGTAGAGATTTTTAACGTTGTCACGGCATGAAACTTAAAGTTCTTTTTTCTTTATCATGAATAGGGGGAAGGTGGAATAAAGATGAAAGCAGTATTAGAAGAAAGGTTGGTGGTGAATATTGAGGCAAAGGCAGAGAAGAAGATGGTGAAGCGCGAAAAGCCAAGTTTTTTAAATGAAATGGGGAGAGGAATGAAAATAGGAATGGTGAATATGGAAGGGGAAGATATTAGTGAATGGAAAGTCCACGGACAGATAATAAAAGTAAAATTCGAGAAAGTTTCAAAATTGTTAGAATGGAAAGAGTTATTTCCAGAGTGGATAGATGAAGAAGAAGAAATGGATGGAACAGAATGTCCAGAAATACCAATGCCAGATTTTAATAGCTATAGTTATATGGACATGATAGTAGTGAAATTGCCATGCAAATATCCAGAAGAAGGGTGGGGAAGAGATGTTTATAGGCTACAAGTTAATCTTGTGGCAGCAAATTTGGCTGTGAAAAGAGGAAAAAGAGGTTGGAATAATGGGAATAAGATGAAAGTTGTGTTCTTGAGTAAGTGTAGACCTATGGTGGAAATGTTTAGATGTGATGAGTTAAAGAAAAGGGAAGGAAATTGGTGGTATTATGAGCCAGATATGGATAAATTGACGCAAAAAGTTTCATTGCCAGTTGGTTCTTGTACTTTGGCTTTGCCTCTCTGGGGAAAAGGTACGTAAAAATTTCAACTTTTACTTGCTTTCATTGCCAAGTCTTGTATTTCTTCTTTTCTTGATCTTGTTGATGTTATTGATTATAAATGGAAAAAGCATATGGTAAAATCATCATCTTACATTATGTTTTCCAACAATTAAAATGAGAACCTGCAAAATAGTGTTCTAAAAACGGTTTAAAAATGTTTACAGTATCAGGTTTTATAAGGTAATTATGGGGAAAAAGTATTAGGATGTTTTAAAGCCAAAATGAAATTGCGCCAGGTAGGGGTCGAAACTTTCTGCTTAGGAAACAGACCTCTATCCATTGAGCTACAGGCGCCAACTTGAACACTGGGAGTAATGCTATTTTATTTAATCAAAGTATAATACTCCCTCTGTTCTATTTTGTATGACAATATTTTCTTTTTAGTTTGTTCTAAAGAGAATTATAACTCTCTAATTTTGGTAACAATTCAATTTTAAAATTTTTATTTTACCATTAATAATAATTTATAACCACATATATAATTATCTATGACTTATTCTAGAGTTTAAGTTTTAAAAGTTCTTTTTTGTTAAACAATTCGTCTCTATTCAAACTTTGCCACAAAAAGTAAAATGGAGGGAATAGTATTCTTAAATGTTTTTTTTTCCTTCACCTAATTGTAATAATATTGTTACATTTCTTGGCAAGGTGATGAGACCTACTAATATATTGACAGCCAACTTTGCTATTTTTTATAAGACAGCTGATGGTATATAATTATTGGTGGAAAGTTGATTTTGAGAGTTTGGTGCCAAAAGGAGGTTGAAAAGCATTATCCTGTTGGTCAGTAAAATGTTTGGTAGGTTTAGAGAAATTAAATATCTACTTGCATAGTTGCATGTAGAAAATACAAAATAGGCAGAGGTATATCATGACAATTACACGACAATGAAATAAATTATACTTTTTCTTCATAAAATAAGATTACCTTGCGCTCTTAACCTTTACCTAATCAAGAAGCTAATAATACGGATTGATTGAACGTAAGGTGCAAACCCAAATATTTAAGTGCAGATGCTGGAGCTTTCTATCACTTCACTAACCTCCAATATTTAATGATTTGTTAAAATTTCCATATTGTATCGATTAGAAAAATATGTAGTACTGTCATTGTACAACTCCCTATCCTATAACTGCATTAATTGAATATATATTATGACTTTAACTCCTACGTTGCTGTTACACACACTAATATTGTAAAATAACGTTTTTACTATCACGTCATTTAAAAGATAATTACAAGTATCAGGTTACAATTGATCGTGTATATTTTTTTACGCTATAGTTTTATTTGTTATAGCTAATCAATTTATGTATTTTTTTTTATACATTGTTAGTGCATTTATTGATAGAATATTTGACAAACATTTGATTCCAGAAATCAACGAGGTCTATGATATTTCCAACATTGAAAGCAGTACAAAAATATCAAGAAGAGAAGCCTACGCCACAGTTCTCCATTCCTCAGAAACATACGTTTGTGGTGCAATTACCTTAGCTCAGAGTCTTCTCCGAACCGGAACCAAACGTGACCTTATCCTTCTTCTGGACCGGAGTATCTCCAACCCCAAACGAGCCGCCCTCATTAAAGCCGGTTGGAAACTCCGGTTCATCAAGAGGATAAGAAACCCTAAAGCTGAGAAAAACACATACAATGAATACAATTATAGCAAATTCAGGTTATGGCAACTAACTGACTATGAAAAGATCATCTTCATTGATGCTGACATCATCGTTCAACGTAACATCGACCTTCTTTTCCATTTTCCTCAAATGACAGCTACAGGTAACACTTCATGTCTTCATGAGCTCCAATTATATATATGTAAATACTCAAATAATTTAGATATATGAACAATTGGATTGTTCGTCCATAAATATTAGATCTTGGATCTGTCATCTGCAGGTAATGATGCGTCAATCTTCAATTCAGGAATAATGGTGATCGAGCCATCAAATTGCACGTTCAACATGTTCATGCAACGTACAAAGGAGATTATATCGTATAACGGAGGTGACCAAGGTTTCCTTAATGAAGTGTTCGTATGGTGGCATAGGTTGCCTCGAAGGGTTAATTTTTTGAAGAATTTTTGGTCAAATAATTCTAACGAGGTCAGTGTTAAGAACCAATTATTCGGGGCAGATCCTCCAAAAGTGTACGCCATACATTATCTAGGGTTAAAGCCATGGGTATGTTATAGGGACTACGATTGTAACTGGGACATAGGAGATCAACGTGTTTATGCTAGTGATGTCGCGCATCGAACATGGTGGAAACTCCATGACTCCATGGATAAGAGTTTACAGAAATGTTGTATGTTGACAAAGCAAAGGAAAATTGAGTTAGAATGGGATAGGAAGTTGGCTGGAAAAATGGGATTTAAAGATGAACATTGGAGGATTAATGTTACGGATCCTAGAAAATTCACTTGATTTTTCTGCTCGTTTTTCCAATTTAATTTTCCTGTTCATTTTCTTTTTCCCTTTAAAACTTTGTCAGTTGTACTACTGCAGTAGTAACTTTTGCACAGAGAACTTATGAACATGGCCTTCACACTATTTATTCATGTGTATAGAGTGCATGTACTCCATTTTTGGAAGATGAAAAATAGCTAAGGATATCTCCCTTATTTCCTCCGTTATGTACATTTTCTAAATGAACATGAAAAATAGCTAGAATTTTATTCAACTCTTCAATTTTCAAATATTGATTTGATATCTTTTGCATCAATAACTTTTCAACAATTAATTTTGTTAATCATTGATAATAATACATAAGTTTTGTTTGCCCGTAAAACGGTACAATTGAATTTATATGTGATTTATAGACAAGTTAATTAATTTTATCCTAAAGTAATAGATGAATTAGATAAAAATATGATACTTAGCCTTGAGATTGAGATAAAATAGCAGAAACCGTAATTCCGAGAGCAGGGCTTCCGTGCACAATAGTAACGATATCAGTCAACAAAAAAGATAAAATTATATTGAGCTTCGAATAGAGTGTAGCGCATGTTTTCCAGAAAATTCGTCTCCTTTACAGTGATAATAGAGCTCACTATCTATAGCTGCACCTAGGAAATAAGATCGTAGGATCAAGCCCCTCTTTAGTGTCAATTATGAGGGCCATTGAAGAATGTGTAACGGCGGCAGTGAATGTCATATTCCTTGTAACAGGTTATGTAATTAATGTTATAGATATTCCTCATTAAATGCTACCGGATGACAATCATTTATTTCATCTTTGTGAGTATAATTATTTCCGGTAACAGATGAGATTGTTGCCTTCAGATTCAACTATCTTCTGTGTCACACCTCCTTTTTCCGCCCCCGAGAGGGTACAAGGGAGTTTTTTCCAATTAAAGGACA